GCCGGGTTTTCTTATTACTGGAAGGGGCTGGTGCACACGTTGTGGCTGCCACGAGCTGGGCTGAGTGCTCAAACCCCAGCACGTCTTTGTAGCCACCATCCCAGCAGTATGAATTTAATAATCTTGGTTGGAGCTGGATTCAAAGCAAGGCCACGGAGGTGAAAGGGCAGATGCTGGTTCATTGAGCCACCTGTTTCCTTCCCTTTAGCTCCTATTTAATTTGTATTGCTGGGTAGCTTTCCCTTCTGATATGAAGGGATTTGAAAGGCCCTTCACCCACCCGCAGTGTCCAAACAGGGATCTGGGGGGGCTTGGTTTTGTCTTGGCGTTGTAAGTGTGTGAGCGTGCATTGGACTTGAGCACTGGGAAAAGAAAATAAGCCTTAAAAGCCATTTTCTTCCCCCGCAGTACACCCCCACACTCTTTAGTTTTATCTAATGATTAGAGCAGATCATAAAATGGGAGAAATACAAAACCATTTTCAAAATTCCCAATCTCCTGCCTATTGGTCTCCAATCCTTATGTCAAAATAAAGGCAGAATTCAAGTGTTCACTTAATCCTTTGCTAGCTCAGGACTAGAAAGAAACTTCCTAAGTTTGCCAACTTAAAGAAAGGGGGGAAATAAACCCACCTTTTCAAGTAATTTTGGAATTCAGACGATGAGAAATAAGGCAGTGCTCTGAGCCTCCTATAGCACATCTTTTCTGTGTTTCCCAAATGGTTGCGTTGCCACATGGAGCATTGTGCCAAGCTGGAATAATATGGAAGCGTGTATAAATGAGAACAATGACTTCTTATAATAGCAGTGAGTTGAACTGAGCAGTGACCCTCACTATGAGGGTGCTGAGGCGCTGGCACAGGGTGCCCAGAGAAGCTGTGGCTGCCCCATCCCTGGCAGTGTTCAAGGCCAGGTTGGACACAGGGGCTTGGAGCAACCTGCTCTAGTGGAAGGTGTCCCTGCCCGTGGCAGGGGTTGGAGCTGGATGAGCTTAAATGCATAAATACCCACACTCAGTGTGACATCCAATTGTCTGGGATCTGGAGGTTTTTCTCTGTGTTTCAGACTTGTGGTCGGTGTGTTGTAAGATAATTGGGAATAACGACGTTCCCAGCTGGCATGTACCCCCCTCTGTGCAGGCAAGTTTAATAAGAAGGCAGGGAGATGGTTGTGTTGGACAAGGAGCTGAAAGTGGGATGAGAAAGGTTTTCTTCTTTGTGATGGTGTCTTCTTGTACTCGCATCTTCAGGATGCTTCAGAAAGGGATGGTTTAGTACATTGAGGTGCGGTCCAGTCTTCAAAGTGAGTTATGGTGGGTCCACATTTAGCTGTCATTTCCTTCTCATTGCCTGCCCGTGAGCATCACCAGTTTCTGACAGCATTAATTAGTGCTAATAGGTGAATTTTGATGTTGTATCAAAACCCACATGGTACATAGAGGTGCTTGAAGACCACGGAGAGAAACTGAAGTTGGGAGGAGGGACAGGAACCATGCTTGACATGGAAAACACCAATGGCTGGAAAATACAAGGAGGGCTTTGCAGGTGTTGCTTTTTAATTTGCTTCCTGATCCTTGAACTTATTCGTTACAGGACCCAGAGGTTTGTACACATGAGAGAAGGAGCAGTTGGGCTGGAGGCTGGTACAGCAGGTTTGTGGTAGCAGCTGCCTGTAGCTGTTGCCTGGAGGCTACTGAACGTTCTAAATACCTTTGTATGTTCTTGGATGTTGAAGGGATCAGGTAGATCCGACTCTCAGAAAATGCCCCCCAGAAGAAACAGAGAAGTCCTTTGTTAGAACATGTCCATCCTGGTCTGTCTGACAGCCAGGCATTGCCTCCAACACAGCGAAACACCAGGTTTGTTCTTACATCTGAGCCACCTCAGGCTGATCTGTGGGGCTTGGTTTCAGTCATGTTTAAAACTGAGTACCTGGCTGCATGAGAGCCTGGAGATGGGCTGTTTCCTTTCCCTCCTTTCCTTCTGCTCAAGCAACGCTACCAGGAGGTAGCTGGAGGTACGAGACCTGCCCTGCAGGAAGGAAGCAGTTAGGAATGTGATTTTGGGGATGTTTGTAGCTTATGTCCAAAGGTGAGGAGGGTCTTCCAGGTCTGCTGGAGGCTCATAGGGTTGTCCCATGCACACATCCTCCGGCTCCTTGTCCTTCTGGACCCTCACTTGTCCTCCCCTCATCCAAAGAGAGGAGGGTTGGGACCACCTTCTGCTTGTCTGTGTGCAGGGGATGAGGATCCTTCCCTGGGCTTTGGTCCGAGGGGACATCCTGGTGGGAGAGGAGGAGCAGCCATGAGGGGAGATCAGTTTGCCCTTAATAACACAGTTTAATGATGGCCTTGGCAGTGCTGGGGTAAAGGTTGGACTCAGTGATCTTAAAGGACTTTCCCAAGCTAGTTGTTCCTATGATTCTATGAAGTGTGGTATGGCAGCATAATGTGCTGCAGCTGTGGGGTCCAGGCCAGTTCAATATACACACAGGAATCTTGGAAATGGATTGGGAATTGTTAGCAGACTGAGAGAAATCCAGTGAATGTGAAACTCCAGCAGATGTGGGGATGCCCATTTCCTCCCCTCCTCCTTCTGTCCCGTGCTCACTTGGACCCAGTTACCATCTCTCAAACTAAGTTTGCATCTTCAAGAGAACAGGAGCTGACATCCAGAAATGTCAGCAGAAGCCAAATAATTAGGGGAGAGTGTAAAACCAGAGTCCATCCGAGCACGGAGCAATAAGCTATGTGAGACTCATCCTGGCTGTGGCCATACCCAGGGATCCACAGGTCTTCCCAGTGGGATAATTCAGCGAGGCACCATGTCTCATCCTCCTTTCCTGGTGCTCCTGATCAGAAACAGACCTGCAGAGCACGTAGATTTTCATGCACTACATACACTTGTTTCTTGGTCTAACTTCATTTAAGAACTGGAGAACTCAGATGCCAGTGTGGGAGTGGAAGTGGACTCCAAGACAGCAGCAGGGGAAAGAAGGCTTGAAACGCCCCCTAATTATGAGAGTGGGAGTTTTCCGTGCTGCAAACCAGATTTGATATTAAGAGCTTTAAGTGACTTTCCTGTTTGAAAGCTTTGTAGTAAACAAAATGTGATGAACAGCCCCTTAGTGACTCATTGCAGGGAAGATTCTGATTTGCAGGATGGTGCTTTTCTATCATACACTTGTTTTAATTATCCCTGCTGAATAATAGAGCTTGATTACAGCTTGGCCAAGGTAGGAGGGGAAGGTCATCAAGATAGCTGTCCTTCTGAATGTTGCAGCATTCTTGCACAGAGCCTTTCTTAGTGTCTGTCCGGCTCCTGTGCCAGCAGCAGCACATCCTGTGAGATGCTATCAACATATCCTGTAACTGTAGAAAAGGTCTGAGGGGCAGAGTGAGCTGTGGGTGACTCGGGAGGGGAAGATGAAGCTGTGGCTGTTGACAGCAAAGCTGTCTTGTCCCTGCCTCTCCTGCTCCTGTCCTTGCAGAGTGGTGGAGAAGAGTGATGGGATCTGCTGACTAACTCACTAGAGGGTAAAACTACAGAGCAGCCACCGGTACCCACCACCCTGCTCTCCTGTCCCACAAGTCCTGTGTGATATCACTTTGCATCCACTGTGCTTTTCTCTGTGCCTTCTGGACCAGCTCTGGGGTTTGGTGCTGGTGCTGGTAGGGGATGTCCCTTTCATGATGCTGCTGAGATGGAGACCTCCCAGACCAGGGTATTTCTTCTCACAGCGAAGAGCTTCTTCCTAAGTGGATGCTTCTGGATATTTACTTACAAGGTCTGGACAGTTTGGGAGCAGGGGGAAGGTCTTTAACTGGAATTTGGAATTTTCCTGAGCCTCAAACCTGCTAATCTTTGTTTAATGCTGCGAGTGAGGATATGGGTTTTTAGCAACTTGGATGAAACCAATAGGCCAGGATGTGCCATAGAGCTGGAATCTCCTCCTGAGCTCTCAGATATTAGCACTGAAAGGTCACTGGTCTCTTACTGAAAGCCTTCCCTACTGCAAATGTAGAGAAGCTTCAGGATGCTCCTGGTGTATCCGGGAATGGGTCCTTACAGGAACTCCCTGTATTTTTCTACTAAGGAAGGCAGGAACATTACAATTAGGTAGGCAAAACCCCCCTAATTGTATGCAGCTGATAGAGCTGGTTCAATCTTTTGACTAGTGAAGCTTTCCTCAATTTGGGATATTGTGATCCTAATCAGGGACCTTTCCCATACATCAAAGCCGACAGGCTGAACCCGCATACCTTGGGGCTGGCATGATTTGATTGCAGGGCTTCCTGCTAGCAGGCTCATCCCTGGCCAGGTGTCTTTCCTGCTGTGGACGACTGATTCCTTTCTACTCTTCATCACTGAGGCAAAGAAATTTAATCCCAATATTACTGCCAGCCCTGGAATGGACCCACTGATTTGGAAATTTCACCCTCTTGTTGCCCTGAAATATCAATGCACAGGAACCTCTGATACCTGCTTATTTCATTGCCAACCTCTAACCTAAGGTGGAGCAGACCTGTCATTAGGGCATTCATCTGTGTTTAGATCTGTCAGCTTCCTTCCCCTTCTGCTCTTTTGTTTCTCTAATTACTTTGATTGCATCTCTGGGTCCAGCTCTGTGAGGCTGCAGGTCCCATCCCAGTCTGTGTCACTGCTTCCTTCTCTATAGCTGGCTTTGGGAAAGGGAGACATTTGTGTCTGGATATGAAGTTGTGGCCACAGTGGGTTTAGGTCTGCAGGTGCTTTTTCACTGTTACACAGACATGGCCCAGTGGCAGAGCTTTGTTTTTCCTATTGCTCTTTGATGCTCTGCACCTCCTGCCTGGTACCCAGTGATGCCAGGAGCCAGTGTGGGAGCCTCTGCGCTTCTCTGCTGTTACCAGCTCTCCCTGTAGTTGAACCAGAGTATTCAGCATCTTGCAATAATACCCTGACATACAAGATAAAGTAAAATAAAGTATTTGTGATGGTATTTTCTGTCTTTTCCCACCAGGGTCTGATTAAAATCCGAGGAGATCGCTGCTGGCGGGAGTTAACTTGCATGGATTATCACTACGAGGTGAGTGATGTGCACATCAAGACTAACTTCTCTTGTCTGCTTTCCTTTGGTAGAAGAATTTTCTCTCCATGTTTTCTTTCTTTGTCACAGCCTCTGTCTCTGGCAACACAACAACGTCCCTGTGCCAGCTAGGTGATGCTGGTTTTCCCAATTGCATTCCTAAAAGATCAGCTTCTCTTTTTCCCTCCCTCACCATCATGGACTGATTCAGGGGCAGACCTGAGCCTTACTGAGAACTTCCTCTGTTAAAATCCTGCAGGAGAGGAACAGAAAGGAGTTTTCATTGTCTCAAATGCTTTCTGCTTATACTTCCAGAACGTTGGCTGTATGCAGATAGAAACGGAGCATCTCTGTGCTCTCCAAGATGCAGAGCACTAATCGCTGGCAATTCAGAATCATACAGTTTTATCTCTTGGACATCTGCTGCAGTGATTACATTGCATTCTGATTAGAAACTGTGGTTTGAATTCTGGCTCTGAGCGTTGTCTCCTCTGTGATTATGGATTGAGGAGCTCAGCTTCCCCTCTCTTTTACCTAGAGTTTTGCATTTGTGTTTTGTATAAATGGTGTTAGAAAAGAGATTGCTGCGTACAGGGACACTCCACTGGGCGAGGAGCCCTGGTTTAGTGAAGGAGGGATGGTACTGGAGCAATAGTCCCTCCTCTAGATTAACATTGCAGCCACTGAAACCTGCTCGCCATGTTATGATGCCTCTGCTCTATCGTCTCTCTCAGCCTGGGGCAGTTTCTGGTGCTGGGTTGTTGGTAAGACCTGAGCTGTCAGCCCCTTGGGATGTACCTTTGGGGTGATGTTCTCAGTGGACCTTCATCACGTCTGGAAACCATTTCCCCCTTCCAATTAACCCTGGCAGAGCCTGACTCCCCTGACCTGCAGAACATGTTCTGAGGTGTTGCCTATGGATGACTGCGCAGGGCAGGCACTGAGCAGTGGAAATGGGGATGCTCGGACAGGACCACGGGCTTTCCACCCTTGTAGGAAGGGAATTGCATGTGGGTGCCAGGGGCTGTGTTACCAGTCCCGTTAGAGGACTGGGATTCCTTTCC